GCGGTCATTACCTGTGAACTATTGGGAACTAATGGAAAGCGGAAAGCTTTTTTAATTAGTTCTAGACCAACGTGTTTGTGAACCAAGGTTTCGTAGAAAGCTCGGTTAATTGCTGATTTATCTGTCCACAGAGACAGAACAGCATCGTTGGTGTGGGACCCTTGGATCTCTACACCTTTAACTACCAGTGGTAGGTAGTGTTTGGTGGCCTCTGACTGCTCCAGCTCACAGAGGAGGCTGTCTTGTTGAGTCAGAGTTCGGACCACTTGGTGGGTCTCTTTGGTTTCACATGATGTCAGAGGAGTACTCACCGGGCTCGTGTCCTCGGCTGAGGAGTCCTTTGTGCCTTCCGCGGTACCTGCTGTTGGGCAGTCTGTGTCACACTCCGGAGGCGTATCTATTGGCAGTGGTTTGCTCACTGTTGTCCACATTGTTTGATCACCATAATCTATAATCGCGTTGAAGCGATTTATAAAATCCTGGCCAACCAAAAATGGGAATGAGTCAACACGAGACACGTGTACCGGGTGGTACAGTGTCATATTGCCAATCTGCATGTGAACCATTGCTATAGCTGTCAGGGTTGTTTTCTTCTCTGAGAGACCCTGCATTTCTATAGCACAATCAGATAGAGGTATTATCCTGTTTTTCTCGGCTGCGGCTGTCCTTAGCTCCTCGAACAGTTTAGCTGACATAATTGTTATGTCTGCTCCACCGTCCAGAAGTGCTTCGTGTGTGAGGACACCTTCGAGTGTTACTGACAGGTACGCCTTTTTGGCGGCCCCCTTTCTGATAAAGTTACACAAAAACCTCTTGGGTTTTTTCTGACGCTTCTTCATGCGTTCAGAAGTGCTTGTGTAATCTTGGTTTGTCTGAACCGTCAGCACAGCTGTAGCTGTTTCTGCGTGTTCAGTTTGCGATGACTCGTCATCGTTTGTGTGTGTGTTTACCCCCCCTTCATCCGACGAGGGGTTGTTTGAAGCAACAACAGCAATGTCTTGGTGTGTTTCACCGACATCTGTAGTGTTGTCATTCGCGCCCAGGGATGTAATAGTGATTACCTCACTGCATAGTGCTTTTGGTCGGCTTCCCTTGTCAGTGTGTTTCAAATCTTCTAACATTTTGCGCAATTTTTCTGTCTCTTCCGAGCTCAGAGGTGTAGGGCCTTTTTTCTGGAACTTTTGTGATTTTTTCGCCTCGGGACGTTTCGTCCGAGGTGGGAGGCGGCTAGGTACGTCTTTTTGGGGTTCCTTTCCGGACGTCCCCTGATAATATGGGTCCTCTCGGTTCCCATATTTTTGCGTCCTCCGCTGGTCCCATTTACGATAATCACGTTCGTCCTCTGAAGGAGGAGCCTTTTTGTCCCAGCGTGCACCTTCATGATGCGGTTTGTTAGTTTGAAAATACTGCCTTTTCTCGCCTTTTTTAGGAGGAGGTGGCGATGAACGCCTTCCTTCCAATTCTAGGGAGTGGGGTTTAACCTTTACACCAGGAAACACTTCTATGGGCGTCTTGGCATGAGAACGTGCCTCAAATACATTCACAGCGCACTGTTTAATCTCACTGATGGATTTTTCTCTGAAATTTGCCATCATTTGCACTGACGTTTGTATGTCAGTGTGGAGATTTTTGCTGAAAACAAATTTAAAACCTTCTTCTTCTTCCATCCCGGTTTCATTTCTGTTACCAAAATAAGCTTGGAAGATTCTTTTGTAATAAACTTTTGGATGTTCAGCTTTACCCTGCGTGACCTTTTCTGCGGCTGGGTATCCAGCTGGTCCTGTGCAGGAGTCGTACTCTCTGATCAAAGCTTCACACAGAAGGTTGTAATCCTTTCTCGTTGCATCAGATAGACGCTCGATGAAGATAAACACCTCTCTGTCCGAAGTGAGCCGTATCAGACTGATCTTATCCTCTACCGTAGCATTAGGATAAGATCTCAATCTGAACTCCAGATCTCTGAGGTACGCTTTTGTTCCAGATGAGCCCATCGGTCCAGGTACAAAGCGTTGTACATATTTTGAGATTTTTTGCAAATCATCCATTCAAGGAGTAGATATCAATGGTCTCACATGCGTGGTCGGTAGTGGGGGTGTTACTCTGCCCGTTTGTGTAGGTGTTTGGATGGGTCTAAAAGCACCGGGTGAGTAAAAAGGTCGTTGAGGTTTTGGTGTATTATCCCGACTCTGTTCAGGGTCTGGTTTGGATTCCAGACCACCTTGCCCCTCTTCATTACCTTTATCTCTCGTTTTTTTTAGTTTTATACATTTGTCTTGGAATCTAGCTGTTTTTTTTTTGTTTTGTTACCTTTTTCCTTTTAGCCATCCTATTTGTTAAAAAAAAACCAAAAAAAAAAAACTGTAGTATGAGTTTTTATAACTGCTTATTGTTGTTGCTGTTGTCCATTGTTGTCATCTTTCTTTGTTGAAATCAGGTCTCTCTTGTAAATGAGTCCTCGAGGCTCAATGGGATTTACCTGTATAAATAAAGGTTGATTGATTATCTGTTGCTGCTTTTAGTTTCTCCTCACATTTTTTTAAATGTTCCTGGGACGTTTGGTAATCACTTTGTAAACGCATATGTAGCTGTTGTAAATTGTTTATCTATTCTGCATTCTTCCAGCTCCATTTTTGCGAGCTGCAACTCTTTTTGTAGCTGTTCATTGTCTGAGCACGCAGCTTGGTATTGACGGTCTTTTTCACTAATCTTCTCATAAGATTGTGTTTGTAATGACGCCTGCATTTCTGAGAGCTCCCTCTCATGTGTTTCAGACAGCCAGACAATGCGTTCCGACCGTTCATCCAATTCTGCTTTTAGAAGCAGAGAGATTTTTGCTAACCGTTCCTGGCTATGCTTTTTACTCTCTGTGACTAATGTTCCTGCTGCCAGACTTTTCAGCTCTTCATTTCTTTGAATTTCATCGAGTTGTTCTAATTGCTGTATTTGCGTGCCAATAAGTGGAGTTGTTAAAATATGTAAGGCCCCCAAAATGATATCATCATTTGGTTGGGAGTCGAAAGGATGCTCTTCTCCTTCTTCGTCTGCCATTTTTCTTCTATTTAAAAATTAAATAGGAGAATTTAATGTTTTAGGTTTTTTCAAAATAAATAAAATCAGAAAAGTCTCTTTGTCTGATATATTTACTCTTATTTAGTGATTTATCAATTAAACGTGCGTTATCTTTTAGCAAATGAGTAAACTTTTTCAACTCTGTGAATATTTGAACCGTATCTTTTAAAAAGTTTCTAATTTTTCATTTTGTACCTCCTGTTTGAGGTTTTCAGTGAATGAAAATGTCCTGGTAAATGCCTTTTTTTGCATAAATACCTTAATAACTTTCTAAATGCAAGATAACAGTGATTATTCGGCTTTGAGGAACGTTTATTAACTCAAAAATGCCTTTAAAAAAAGAAAATACGTTTAATTTCACTAAAATAACCTAAAAAGCGAAGTGAAACCTGTGATCTCAAGTCTCTCCAGGAGGTG